GCATCCTGGAGCCTCCCCTTCCATACGGCTCCCGGGCTCTTCCCCGGGGCAGAAGCAGGCGAGAGGCAGCATGGTCAGGCAGGCTGCAAAGGGCACACAGCTCCCTGTGCAGCCACCCCGGCAGTGGGGGCCCAGCCCCGGGGGTCTCCTTGCTCCCCTCTTCCCCGTTAAAAGCCACTTCTGGGAGCCAAAAGCCCCATGTGCCAGCTAGGAAAAAAAATACTCATCAGACCTTTCCTGACCTCGGAGGGGCTGGGCCCCTCTGCCAGCCCGGCAGGGACTGCTGGCAGGCTCCCCGCTCTTACAACACCCTGCCCTGCCCGGGCAAGCCACCGCTGCCCTCCGCAACCACAGAAATGCCCGTGACGGGGAAAGGTTTTCATTCCCTGCCTGCACGGAGAGTGGCCTCCCACGTGAACCGGGATGCTCAGGCAGGTCTGCTGCCGGAGCAGAGGCTGAGCTGCCATCACGGGTTCTGCCTTCCCCTGAAAGTTGGGGTTTGGAAACTGGCTCAGCCTCTGCCTCCTCTTCCTCCTCCTCCTCCTCCTCCTCATTCCCACCTCCCTGATGCTGTCGCTGCAGCCGCGGGACCTCCCCATTCATGCTCCCGTCCTCCCCACCGAAGGCACCCAGGAGGCACCCAACAAGAAGCTGCTGGCAGCGCTTATTGCGTAAGGGCAAAGCTGCGCTCTGAGCGTGACGCCAAGCGTGTCCGGGTGGCATGCCAAGGGGGCAGCCGGGCTGAAGGCGCTCGGGGCGCTGGAGCCGGGCTGGGGGGGAGCTGGGCTGGGAGCGATGGCTCAGGGCAGCAAGGAGGGTGCCTGGAGCGGTGAAATCTTGCACCGGGAAGTCCAGGGGAGGGAGTTTCACTTGCCAGGGCAGAGGGACACGGAGCCCCGCACAGCCCCGGAGGTCTCCATCCCGGTGGGCTGGGCAAGGGGACAGGGTGCTGGGGCAGCTGCTTGTCCCAGTACCCAAACCCGAGCTCCAGGATGCAGCCGGAACCTTTTCCCCATTTGCTTCCCTCAAGAAGGATATTTCTGGGAAACGCCGGGGAGGCAGGAGGAATGCACGGGTTAAAAATAGCTGCCATGGCATGGGAGCCACCACAGAGGCCAGGGCCAGAGCCGGGGGGAAGCGCCTGACCTCCTCCTCCTTCTCCTCCTTCTTGTTGTTGTTGTTGTTGTTGTTTTTCGGAAGCAAACGCAGCCCGGGGGCTGCGCAAGCAGGGGCGAGCCCTTGCACGGGTGCAGCGGGCGCAGGGCCAGCTCCGGGAGGGAACCGGAGCACTGGGAAGTGGGGACGGGGTTAGGTGGCGGGGGTACAATTTGGAGCTTCAGCAGAGGGTGCTGCTGACACTCGCTCCCTCCCCACCGGCGAAGGGGCAGGACCTGCGCCCCATCCCTGCCCGGCTTTGCCCAAAACAGCCTTTTCACCCCAAAGTAGGGCCAGACCCGCACCCTGCTGCCCCGCGACTGAGGGCAGAGGTGGGGAAAACCACCGTCGGATATTCCTCCCTTCCTCAGAAACCTCTGTCTGAAAGCACAGCTACTCTCAGATGTTATTTTGGTTGCTGACATTGTTTCATGACAGTTTCCACACTTTTTGTGAAATCCGCACCAGTGTTATTGCAAACTTCTCCCTCCTTCTCCCCCACCCCGTTTTTCTTTAGCAATAGCTGCAGAAAAACCAGAAACAACAGCGAAGGACTTGGGAAAACATCTGTAGAACCTTTGCAGGTCCCGGCAGCAGCACAAGGACTCTCACTTCTCCGGGTACCTGCAGCCAGGGGGAGATGGGAACAGTCAGAAACGGAACCCTGCTGTCAGGTGTGTTAAAAATGTCAGGACTAGGGAATAACTGCCCACAGGAGTTGCTGCTGCCGCAGGGTCTTCCCACAGCGACGTGGGAACGAACACAGCTTTATTATGATTTTTTTTTTTTTTCTTTAAATCTGAAAACATAATTGCACAGGGATTTGGGGGGCAGGAGAAGGACCTGCGATTGCTCTAGCGTAGCCTTTGACACTGGCTGGGTTTCAGGATCTCGATGCCCCTTTCCCTCATTCTCACAACGCTGCCGTAGCTTCGGGAAGAGCCGCAGCCCCGGGATGGTGAGTGGCTGTGCCTGCTCTGGGCAGGGCAGGATCAGCCCTAGCCGTGAGATCCGTGCCTCCATCCCCTCTCTGGTGGCTGCTCACCTCCGTGGGGGTAACAAGCTGCACTCACCATGCCAGGTTTCCCACCCCTCCAGGTCTGTCTGTCCCCCCAAAGCCACCCTGGGGTGCCCCAGGTGAGGAGAAGGGATCCCACCAGCCCTGCCCAGCCCCATCCTTTGGCCCGGAAGGCACCACGACTCCCTCCACTGAACCTGTGTGTCCGTAGGGCAAAACACTGTGGGAACGGGCTAATAAAGAGGGAATGGAGTGACCTCAGCCCTGCCTGCGCAGGCAGCCAGCAGCGGGCTCTGACCTTCTCCATACCCAGGGTATGCACACTCTGCCTCTTTCATCACTATCGATGCATTCGCTCCCAGGAGCTTCGCTTGGAAAACAGGATGTGAGCGTGTGAGACGGCCGCTCACCCCCAAATACGCCGGAGCTCAGAGCCCGCCGGGGCGCTCGGGCTTGCCCTGAGCTGGGGTGGCAGTGCCGGGGCTCGTGGGCTGGCTTGTGGGGCTCTTGTGCTGGCCGGGGGAGCAGGATTGCTGCCCCAGAGGCAAAGCACAAGCTCTGAACCCCCCACAAAGGTGATCTGCGTGCTGCCCTGCAAAGGGAAACGTGTTTGCCTTTGCGGGTACGGTGGGGTACGGAGCACGGCTGGACCAACCCAGACCAGCAGCTTGCATGAGCCGGTGAAACAGCACATTTTTACTATTTTTTATTGTTCTGAAACAGAGAATTTTTCCCTTCCTGCCGCTGCCTGGGCCCTGGCTGACACGATGCTACTGCTCCCAGAGCTGCGCTTGCATTTACCAGGGGAGGGGAGTTTATATAGCGCCGAGAGTTTATGTACAGCTTCCTCCAGCCGGCCTGGGACAGGCAGTACCCAGAGGGTTAAAGCTTCATCACCGCCTGTTTATGTGCTGACAAGGAAACACGATGACAGATAATCCCAAACAACTTCAAAGCAAGATCCGTGAATCCGATATGGAAACTATTCCTAAAGTCTCAGCGTGGAGAGCCCCAGACTAATTACCGCCGTGGACATTAAAGGCAGAGCGGGACCCACTGCCAAAATCCCAGCGCCTGGCCTGGCCCCGTGCCCACCCTGCCGAACCCTGGGCTCCCTCCCCGCCCTGCACCAGGCAGCCAAGGGGATTTGGGGGAAAATGATGCTCCTTGAGCAGCTCTTCCTTAGGCAGAGGGTAGGGCATCACGCCATCCTCACCAACCTCCTGCACTGTCCCCGGGTGTCCCCCTGGCCCTGGCCAGGCAGGCAGGGTCTTCCCTGCAGCCAGGACAGCCCCAGCTCGCCCCTCGGCAGTGCCAACCCACCCAGCAAGAGGGGCTTAGTGCTGAACTGGGATGCAGCCCCCTCCTCCTGGGAGGCATTTAAGGATTAGGGAGGGAGGAATAAAAGAGGCTGGGGAGGTGGTGGGACCCTGGTGGCAGCCAGCACTGTGGCAGGCAGCCTCGGCTGGTGGCTCGCTGCGGTGCAGGCAGTGACACGGTGCGTGGCTCTGTCCTGTGGATGGCTCTGAGCCCGGAGGGGTTTGCCGCAGAGGGGATCTCATCAGCCCCATGTCATGTTGCAGGGTGGTGGGGTCTGTGGGGTCCCTGGGCAGGGCTTGCCCGGAGCCTTTGCACAGATGGGGATGCCATGGGCTTTACGTGAGGTGGGTCGGGAGCTCGGTAGCGATGGCCCAGAGCCTGAGCCTGCTGCCTCATACCTGCCTGGGTGCCTCCCCAGAGCATTTGCATAAGTAAATCACATTTTGAAGCTCCTGAGGGCTTTAGTGACTGCTTGGGTTGCCCTGGCTAGGCTAGGGCATAGAGTATGTGTGATTTCTTGGAAAACTTTTCCGGAAGTGTGGGGGGGGAATGAGTGCTGATGAGGTTGTAGGGGTGCGGTGCCCACCCCAGAGGTGCTGGGGCTCTCAGCTCTCCCGGGGCCGTGGTGGTGAACCGCTGCGGCTGCCCTTGCCCTTTGCTCTGGGCTGGGCACTTGCGCCAGCACGGCTCTGGCTCCGAATTCCATGGACAGGCAATGCTTTGCAACACGAGCCTGGCTCAAGAGGGGCTCTGGCACGGTCTCTTACTGGTGCAAAGCTGAACTGGATCTCTCAGGGTGCAGCAGTGCTTCTCCCCTGCTCCGCTCCCCGTACCCGAGTCCCGGGGAAGGGCTGGGGATGGACGGGCCAGAACCCTCAGGTGCTCCGTCAACAGTTTCAGTGCAATCACTTGCTGCACGGGGTTTGCTTTCTGACCTCCGCTGTGATGGGGAAGGTGAGGAAGGCTGAACCAAAGGGGAGGGCAGCGAGGCCCCGGGCAGAGGGGGATGCCCGTGTCTCTGCAGCAGCACCGCCGCTGTGACTCCTGCGTGTGCTGCTTTTTATCACTTGTTCTGTAATGGCGAGTGTGCAAACAGCGTGCCCGGGAGAGAGCGAGCAAGAGTTCCCAGCTATAAAAAGCTTTTGTTTTATCCTGGTGTGGCATCAGCCTGGCTCAGCCTTGGCAGAGCCTGAATGTGCTGCGTTAAAGGATGCTGGGAGGCAAAGCTGGCACTGTCACTGCCCGGTCTCTCCTCTCCTCCCATGGAGCCTCAGCCCCTCCTCGGTGCCTGCCTGCCCTCTCTGGGCCCAGCCAGCGTTAGCGAGCTCCCTGGTGCAATTAGGAATTGAACATGAGGAACAGGATTAAAACTGCATTTAATGCCTGAGGTAGCAGGTCACAGGAGCTCAGGCAGGGATCCGATCGCTGGTACCCATCTCCCCGCCAGCTGCCTGTGCACGGGCCCGTGCACCATTTGTCCAGGCTGGATTCATCTCTCGGACAGATGGAAATGGTCCGTCCTCCCTTGGCCACCCCGGGCACACCTGCATGGGCGCGCTGGGGTGCCTCTGGTTTGGAGAAGGTCTGGGTGTGCTCCTGTTCGCAGGTGACAGGGTCAGCTCCACCACGTCTCTGGCTCAGTTTGCAGCCCCCCCACTGTGACCGACCAGTTTGTCACCCCTCGGGATGCATCGCCCTTCCCCTGAGCGGGCTGGAGCCAGAGCTCACGTCTGCTGAGCCCCTGCAGCCGTTGCAAGCTCCCCTCTATCTGCTAAGTGCCAGGTGCTGATTTATCTGCTTTATGTCTGGGGTCACGCCTCGCCCGCGCCCTCGGAGAGGGGGATTAGCAGAAGCAGAGCCGTATGTGTGAACCTGAAACACTTAATTAGGATGCTGTGTGCACGCAGCCTGGTTGGGGTGGATAAGGCTGTGGGACAGGGATTAAACGGTGCGGGGACTTTACATCCACTTAAGCAGGAGTGCCAGCATGTGTAAACTTTGTTTAAGATCAGGGAGAGTGATTTACACCCGACACAGTCTCAGGATGCCAGGGCCGGCCAAAGCAGGTTCCCCTGGCCCTGCGTGGGGGCTACGCCGATGCACCAGCCGGGGAAAGGTGGGCTTGTGTCCAGCTGCCTCTGAATGATCCCGACTTGTTTCCCTGGGAATGTACAGAAG